TACGAGATTTGTAGAAGTGAATTTGGGATAAGTTGTAACATGTTACAACTTGCCTCTCAGACATTGTTACAACATGCCCCGTAGCACAATTTTCTACATTTAATTACATTTCGACAAAATTATGTCGTCGCTTAGCGTCAAAATGTGTAAGGAATATCAAAGCTGAGTAATTTTTGAACTACATGCAAAACTAAAAGTTTAAAATTAATTAATAACAGATACGAAAAATCAAATTTTACTAAAGAAATATTTTACATTACGTGGTCAAAACGAAACACGTGCACACATCCACTCACTGTGCTGGCTGGAGGAACAGTGGTTGTGATGACATGACGTCTTATGGTGCAAGAATTAAATTCAGTAAAAAACCTGACGTTAAAGAGTTTAAATTCCGGGTAAAACTTTAGTGTTACAACTTACCCCTGTTACAACAAGCCCCTAGTTCCCTTACAAGAACAAGCAGTAGCAAAACGATTTTTTTTTGTGTTTTCTTGTGTTTTACAATTGCACAGTGATAATAAACAATTACAACTTAAAATGTTAATGTTTATCAATAAAATCTGATGAAATAAATAGATTTTTCTTTGTCTGTGAACGTAGAAAAAGTATAGTACATAACTCGAGTTGTAAAACAATTACGCACACATGAAAATACGTACTCGCATGGCGACTCGTACGCAACTTTTTCCATTCGTGCGTCTTATTACGCAATATACTACTCCTATTATAAATTCATTTGACCTAACTGTTTCACTTTTTAATATTTGATTTAATTTATCAGCTCGATAGAATAGTATTAAATCAATTTTAAGCACACTCCTGCCTATTTAAAATTTAAAGATACTCTACCCATTGATCGTGCTATTAAAGCAAATGACCACAATAAAGTGCAAACATTTATTTTAAAATTTAGTTGAATGCTTCTCGTAATTTACTGCTGCCAATAAATTGATTTCTGCCTTATTTGATGGTGAGTCATTCGATTCTTTATCACTGGAAAGGCGATGAACATCGATGCCCCAGGTGGCGGGTGACTAATTTCGATTAGATGCGCCGCCAATCGGGGGCGGTCGGCAATAAAACCACATCAGGGTTTTATGTTTGTGATAGCGACTGCTTCACTGTTTCAGTGGAGATTGATAATTTTTATGGTGGACATATAAAACGGGGTCGTCAGCAATGGAAGTGCTTTCAAGCCCGCAACCATCCTATAAAGAACTTCATCAGGAACCTCGGCAATTCGTAAAAATGCAACCGAAACGCTTTTATCAAAAGTGTGCTTCTGTCAGTTCTCATATGCTCCAGCAATAAAATCAATCGGTACGTCGACGACAAAGCGGCTAAATTACTTCATTGCGAACTTCTTGCGATTCTCTTGGCCCTTCACTAGTATGCTATGGTATAAATAAGTTGAAAAGTTTGCGGTTGAATTTTAATAAAACAGGATGAACTAATAAACCTAAGAGCTGATTTAGAGGAAACTGTTCAAATCTTCCCTCGAGTATGTTAACATTTTAGGCACGTTTGCGTAAAAAACACTCACATATATACCTACACATGCTTTATGCATAAATTTTACATCACAGAATTCTATATTGGAGATGAGTATATTGCTTTTCTTCTTAATACTCATTCCTTAATAGCCTGTAACCTGCAACAAAGACAGTAGTTCGATATTTTAATATCACGTAATATGTGTAAACAATTTAATGTGAATTTTTAAATTTTCCCTCGGGCGAATTGCCACTTTCATATTTTCTCGACGTGTCATAACCTCTAAAATACGAAAAAAATGGTCTCCCGTTTCCACCTGTCTGTCTGTCTTTCTGTCTGGAGTCTGTATTTTTATTAGACACGTAATCTCCGATACTATCGAACCGATTGTTGTCAAATTTTGTATGTATATTAAAAACATCACGTAGATGGTTAAACGTGTGTGAATCCGTGTCGAATTTTCACCCTAGACATCCAAATTTTTGGAAAAAACATCGAAATTATATAACAATATTTTGTAATTCAATTTCTCGTCACGTACATTTTCATAATTTGCGTAATGAATCTGTAATTTTTGATCTACTTATTTAAATGTACATACGAATGTATTCAAGAGCTGCGACTTTTTGCGTCGGTAGTTTAGGAGCAAACAACACCAACGCACAGACTGAATTATTTTAACTTAATTACGTTTAATTAGAAAATAATTACGCGTATAACGACGCTCTCGGGTTTGTATCACATGACCTGAAAAACTCAGGGGTGGCGGCATTAAGACCAACCAACCTTCGTCGTAGTAGTGGCACCAATTTAGAATCTGTAATCTATGCAGCTAGGGCGAGAGTGATTTCGTTGTAATTCATTCGTTTCTCGACTGCGCCCAGCATATATCTCGCGATTTGAATATACAGCCCTGCTATCTGTAAACCGTCGTTGAATTTAAAATTTAATTTGGGAGTTAATAAATTGAAAACCGGAAATACTTCAGCTGGATTACCACTGAAGTATCAAATAAGCACAGTAACAAAAAGTTCAGATTTCCCTTATAAGGAAAAAATGTACTATGAAAAATTTAAATTGAGACGTAAATACTATAAGTAGACATCGTTGAACACTTACTATTATTATTATTAAAAAGTGTAAGCTAATAATGAAAATTAATACAATTTAGTGTTTATTAGTTCTAAGTACTTCATACGTAACCAAGCGTAACATGTTTGTCAACACACAAAATTGGCTTTATTATGACTAGTGTGACAAAAATGTTACAGGAAAATCCAATGCGTCCACGATAGTAAGAGTACGAATGCGAGCGGGAAAGCCGGTCTGTCATCATTTCCGGAAATAGCTCGTCCACCGCGATAGTGCAGGTCCCAGCGTTTCCCCGGGGGCTTTTCCAACCGCTGGTGTATTGTCGAATTGACTTCAAAGCTGTTCTTGTTGGAAACTCGTTAGTGTTCAGCCTTAGCTGGTTGCGTTAAATCTTTTTGTCTGTTACCCTGCCTGGGTGCCCTTGCCGCATCGTATCGCCATTATTGCCCTTACGTTTCCTTAATTATAATCCAATCAGCTAAGTTTTACATAATTAGGGGTGGCGCGTCTGACGATGCTGCTGCTTCCAAGAATTCCTTCGCGAAGACTTCGATCTAGAAATTTATCCATCTCGCAACAACATGGCAAATCCTGTCACAAAGTTTTGTTAACGATTTTAAAAAATTATCATTTAATATTTTGCTACTACTCGTAAACCAAATAAACACGTGTGGAGTCTTCCCTTAAATTTTTAAGTGGCAGTCGCGTGCGAGTGACACTAGAGACGTTGTAATGGTAGTCGAGAATAAAACAGATGTTGAGTTTAAAAGGTTTACTAACATCGTCCAATCACTTTCGTAACGGATAAGTGATGGACGATTTTGTTACACGGTTCAACTGTTTCAAGATTATCGCATGAAAATTTAAGCAGTAAATTAGCCAACAGCAACACAGGCAGCAAATAACTTGCATTTTCAATTGGTAGTTTAGTTTATTACGAGTTCGTCTCAGTCAGTAGTATATCAGTGATTTATTTTTAAACATGTAGGACATCGAAATAGCGTCGATGGAGGAGATTGAGTATTTTATAATACTGAGTAAGTTTTTAAATATTAATTCCCAACAGAGGGTCGTAGATATTCTGAATGCGTTCTTTTACATTGGTTTTATCCTCAGGCAGAGATAGGACACTTATACATTATTATATGCAGTATATAGATCTACGGTGACACATGTCACACAGAATTAATTATACATTTGTTGATGTTGTCATTTATAACAAAGAAGTGTTTTAAAAACTCGTCATAATTTCGAACAATGGGGTGTCACATAATTCATCCTGAAAAACAAATATGTTACTCGCTGCCGCCCCATTCGCATCTCGCAATTAAGGCGATGCACAATGTTGCATTTTAGACGTATCCAACAGAGATCAAAATACAAAATTTACGAACTGCCAATCTGACAATAATCAGTTTCAGAAACTAACTAAATCCGTGGCTTAGGTGGCGGTTTAGTCACTAATCGTGTTCGTATTTAAAATCAAGTTAGCGCCGTCAAAATGACCTTAGGCGTGTCTTGAGTTGCAAACTTCAAGGCCGGCAGTTGACGATTATTGCTTTGAAAATTTGCTGTAAAGCCCCCGTTAGAATAAACTTACAAGTTTGTTAAATAATGTGCAGGACCTCGCGTGATTGATTAACCTGCTGCCGTTCCAAGTCTTCACCGAGTTCGGTGCGCACTTTTTGTTCCTGCAACCATCCTATTGTTGACTTGTGTGAATTTTCACATTGTCCTGCGGAAATAACCACTCTTCCTTCTCAGGTTATTACAAAATTCTAGCAAATGATTATCTAAAAGATTATGTATTCTCCGCTGTTCACATTTGTAGTAGGAAATACAAGAGTAAACATTCCTTCTTTAGTAAATTCTCCCTAAACGATTAAACTTCTTCAACTAAAATTTCTTTTAGAGAAGGAGCGAGGTCTTTTTATTAAGTCTCTTCAATAGGATAAGACAACAATATTTTCTTTAACGTAATTGTCTATATATTTCAAGTGACATTTTCTTAATAATGTTTTGTGATTGAACATCAACTGCTTGCGTTTTTAAATCTATATTTTCACTCTTCTTTATGTTTTACTCCATAGACAATAACATTTTTTTTAATTTTTTTTTATTTCTAATCACTGGCAAATTTACCACCGGCCTGCAATCAGCTGACACCGTTTCGACCTAACGCTCAGCTCTACATATAAAATTTTTGGAAAATCAATAGAGAGTAAGTTGTTTATTTATATTCGTTTCGAATCAAATCAAATCAAATCATCGTATACATCGAATTATTTAAAAACATTCCTTAAAAATAATTTAATACTTCAAATTGAATAATTAAGATATGTTTGCAAAAGTATTCTTTCTAAATCCTAAATACTTAAATAACTATTTCAGCTTTAATCGTTTTATTGTTTCAGGTCGCAGTGAAGATAATTGATATTAAGGATATCAAAGAGAAATATGTCGTAAAAAACTTACACAGAGAAGCCCGGATTTTGTCGACATTGAATCATCCCTGTATAGCATCTCTTTTTCAAACCATACAGGTAAAGTAAGAAACTCTGACAATTTCCACCCTAACTTATTCGAAAATTAACCGAGTGCATAGAAATATCAACTTCAAATAAGCAAGCATAAATTCTAGGAGACCACATTTATTTTAGCATTAGATAAACACCACCCTAGGCGCTAACATATTAAAGTTTATAGTTGCAACAGCAGCATTTATCCCTTATAATTAGTCATGCATCATAACAGTGCGTGCGGTTTCTGCCCTAGGCCATTTACGTTTCATTATTGATATTGGGTACATTAATTTATGTGCACCTCAGCACTTGATGGTGTAAAATTCTGAGGCTAGAACCACTTACTTAAACTCAAAAAATATTATGAAAAAATATTATACAATAACGATTAATGACTACTGACTTAATAAAATCGTTGATGTATGATCTATTGTCAAAAGTAAAAATATGAAAATCAAGATTAAGGTAATACCAGATATGACAATGCAACAAGCTAAAACGACGTTACATTAAAAGACTGTAAAAACCCTTCAGTTATATAATCCTTTTTAGCAACCGTACTGTTTTTTTTTAATTCAAAATTAATCTTGAGTAAAAGATGTTTATTTGTATAATGTGGCATAATTATGATCATTTTTGTATTCACTAATCAATTTGAACGTAATAAATCCGGAGCCGTAAAGATTAAAACGAACACACTAATATTCATTCCCACGACACCGAAAATTTCGTCATACTATCGACACATTTTAACAGCTACATTGTCATTTTCTCAAACTAAATTACTTATTAATTACTTTCTACTCTATACTCTACCTAGGGCTTCCACTACCATCTTCCCTTTTCCGACCAACAACCAAGTGCCTAATCGAGGCAGTATCAAAACTTAACGCTCTCCCTCCATTGTTTAAACACTTGAATATATTAAAAATTTACACTTATTGACTGCTTCCACCTCGTCTCCCACTACCATTAAACGTAAACGTGTACAGGTTTTAGTCAAATGGGAACATTGGAAAGCTGACAGCTGTTGCAATCCTCCGCCCCTGCAGTATTTTCCAATACTCACGATCGGTACTACTTCACATCTACACACAGTCACTTAAACTAAGTGCGGATTACAGATCCCTTCGGTGCCTAGTTTTCCTTCACTTATAGGAAGTTTTTCACCAACCATGATCTGACGGGGTAGCGGAATGTCGTTTCGCATTCTCATAGTAAATAAATACTGTCTTTATAAAATAATTATTAACGAATAGATAATGTGGGCCTCAAAACAGAGCCGTGGAGAACCCGAGATAATATACTTCCCACAAAAATTATCGCACCATCCTCAAAAGAAGAAACATATCGGTCGATACCACATTAAATATTGTCATTATTTCGCTTGTCTTGCATTTATCCCTAATATGAATATGGTAGCTGCATATATTCCGGTTCACTAGAATTGGAGGTGGTGCAATAATTTTTGTGGGGAGTGTATTATGATTGTTAATTATACACAATTTAATTCGATTATTTATTTGTTTTCTATTAGATTATCCATTCCTCGCCTTTGAAGCACAGTCCGTTGTACATGCACATTAGAGTGTGTAACTTTTAACATTTTGTTATGAAATCAAAAAAGGAGTTCTTTTCAAAATTTTGAAAAAACTAACGTTGCTTTAAAAATTTTCAAACATTAATTAGTTTTTATTTTAAAATATCTTTAAAGCTATTATTGAGTGATGCATTTGTGGAGGTAAAGGTATCGGCCAGTATTTTTTCAAATCGTTGCATTGCGCCCATTCACTGTAAAAAGGCTTTAAAAATCGTATTTTTAAATTAGCGCTCGGTCCGATTTGTCGCGAAACGTTCCGTCTCAGTTCAACGATCGCGTCTTTAGATTAGCCATGGAAAATCGAAATGTCAAAGTGAATTTAGAAATTATTCCACGATTCTTACTCAGAAATCACTGAACAATTCAAATTGAATTATTTTATCCAGTGTGATGACTATTGTAGGACAAATTAAACGCAATAAATACACTAATTGATTCATTTATTGGTGCTGGGTGCAACAAATGAAACCCTTCGAGCAGTTCGTCGTCCTCAACACCTCCATCGGCAGTATCATGACACGTCCTGGAGGGGCAAACTAGGGATTTACTCGGGCTACTTCAGTCAGTAATCACTGAACAACTCAAATTGAATTATTTTATCCAGTATAATGATTATTGTAGGACAATTTAAACACAATAAATACTCATATTACACAAAATATTTTATGAGGTTATGTTGAGGCGTTTCTAATTTGCAGACCACAGTTTATCTTGCAGACTGGGGGTTAAAAATGCTCCAATCAAGTTAAAACTCCATATTTGCTTATTTCTTAATACGAAGATTGTTAATACAAAATTTCAACCCGTTCGGAGAAACCGTTACAAACTACCCCTAAAACAACCTTGCAGACTAGGGCTTAAAAATACTCCAATCAATTCAAAATTTGACATTCGCTAGTTTTTCAATACGAGGATTATTGATGCAAAATTTCACCCCATTCGGAGAAACCCTCAAAAATCATCCCCAAAACAACCTTGCAGACTGGGGGTAAAAACTGCTTCAATCAAATCAAAACTCGATATTTGCTTATTTCTCAATACGAAGATTATTGACACAAAATTTCAACCCGTTCGGAGAAACCGTTAAAAACTACCCCCAAAACAACCTTGCAGACTGGGGCTTAAAAATACTCGGATCAAGTTAAACTTTGACAATCCCTAGTTTTTCAATACGAGGATTATTGATGCAAAATTTCAGCCCATTCGGAGAAACCCTCAAAAATCACCCCTAAAACAACCTTGCAGACTGGGGGTTAAAAATGCTCCAATCTAGTTAAAACTCGATATTTGCTTATTTCTCAATACGAAGATTGTTAATACAAAATTTCAACCTGTTCGGAGAAACCGTTAAAAACTACCCCTAAAACAACCTTGCAGACTAGGGCTTAAAAATACTCTAATCAAGTCAAAATTTGACATTAATTTATTTTTTTATTATTTTATTGTTAATTATTAATTAATTTATATTTAAATTTAAAAAATATATAAATTACGAATACATATAGGAGTATTTGTTACAGATACGTGAATTGTGATAATTTGAGTTCATGTTTATCGCTGTTAGATAATTGTTGCTACTATGTAAGAATGCATAAGTTGGGCATTTTTTCGTCCAATCTCTCATTTTTTGTGCGTTTTTACACGTCATTTTTGCTGTTAACTTGGTTCATTCAGTACATACTATATGCTGGTTTTGAGTTCTTTGAGATATAATTAAACTTTCATCATCAGTCAAAAAATACAAAGTTAGTGGTGTCCAAAAGAGAAAATTTAAAATTCAGAGGAGGCAAAATCTTAAAGATATTTTAAAGAAAATTAGAGACATTTTTAATTTCCGAGAAACCTAACGTAAAAAAAAACGTTTTGAGAAAAAATTTAAATTAATAATAGGAAGCTCAAACTTAATTTTATTTGAATTTCAAAAAGAACCCAGAAATATGCTAATTTCTTAATTAATTATTATTAATGGGAAAACAAATAAAGATTCGTTATATTCAATACGACGCAAAATTGTCTTCATATGTAGGTCTTACAGCCTTTGGATGGTGTCCACGTCCATTTCTCTAACTGTCTGGTAAATTGTTCTTTTTAATTGTTCTTCTAAATTGGCTTCCCAGCCGTTGTTGTAAACCTTTCTACTTAGTATTCCCCAAATTTTGTTTTCGATTGTTCGCACTGGGGGCACTATGGGGGGATTACCTTTTCTTAGGTACAAAACTTATATTATTGCTTTCTAACCAATCCCTGGACGTTCTAGTATAATGGCAACTTGCTAAATTTAGCCAAAATATTACATCGTCGTTATTATGGTGTTCCTATATATTGTTATGTATTGACCGCGTCACCTTTAGTACGGCCAATGAATTGTGCTGAAACGCCGGCCGGAGATATAGCCCATCAAACCAAAATTTTATCTTCAAATTTTGCCTTCGACTTAAATTTTACTTTTAATTTCTTCTATATTGTTTATATAAAATCCATCGTTACCTTCCATCTCTGAATGGGCAAATGTCAAATATTTTTCATCGCCTAGCACAACCACACGATTGTCCAGAAAATGATGAATTCTCAATAGCCGGCAACATCTAAGAATTCTCTCTAACTGCGATGCTGTATGTTTTGAACATATAGCTCTTTTGCTGTATTTTAAGTTGTTTTTGCCTATTTCTCTAGAAACTATTATATAGGAACTCTAAACAATCGAGCCAATCTTCTTGTTGATGTTCCAGGCTCTTGTCTTTCTTCTTAATCTTTCTAAACTTATTGTGGTATTGCTACCTCGCAGTCTTTAATTGTTCTGTATATAGTTGCGCGTGTAATATATTTGGTCCAAAATATATTCACAATTTCACTTTTAGATACTTGGGTAACTAACTGGTATATGGCTCTTTGCAACTCTATTTTGTATGACATTGTTTAAGCGTTAATTGACATAAATCTATGACATAAATTGTATAACATGGGAAATAATAATTGCGCTGTTGCAAATGTAACTTGATTCGATTGCATTTTAAGTTCAAAAAAAGATAGGAGTATATGTAAATTTTTCTCAAAACTCTTTTACGTACTAGCGGTAAAAGTGACATAGAATTGGAAAATCTTAGTAAAAGTAAAGACGACGACAGTTAAGACTAATCTAGTTGAGTGCATGTATTTAGGGAAATTTTAGTTGTATTGATAAATTAAATTCTTAGATGGAAATAACGATATAGATATGAAAATTCGAGAAAAAAAATATAGAATTTGAAAATATACATGATTTTAATGGCACTACATACCTTATTTATAAACTGTTGACACATGATGTACAAATTAACAAAAAAAAAGAAGACAAATAAACCCAAAATTTAATTTAATTTAACAAAATAACAGAAACAGACCAACTAGGATATTTTCTTAATTAAAATAATAAAGGAGGCTG